TTCCACATTCCACCCATGCTCTCTGGCATTATCCTTGGCTTTCTGCCTGGCCTCTAGATCCCTCCTCTTGTGAGGCGTTTCCCCCTTTCTACGCCACAGGGGCATTTCGCAGTCCGATCCCGTGTTGATACCCAAGGCGTGACCCGGAAGTAGCTAGTCAACAGCAGCGATCTCACGTCTGCCTGCTGATTTCTTTTTAAAACCACATTCCACCCATGCTCTCTGGCATTATCCTTGGCTTTCTGCCTGGCCTCTAGATCCCTCCTCTTGTGAGGCGTTTCCCCCTTTCTACGCCACAGGGGCATTTCGCAGTCCGATCCCGTGTTGATACCCAAGGCGTGACCCGGAAGTAGCTAGTCAACAGCAGCGATCTCACGTCTGCCTGCTGATTTCTTTTTAAAACCTTGCAAAGGGGAAGCACGTGGTGCTCACCTTTCTCCCCCCAGTCCGGCTTGTTTCTGCCTTACACGTGTTGGGAACGTGCTTCTCGACATTGGGCTTGTTGGAGGACCGCGTGGAAGGGCTGGGAAACTTTCTGAGCACTTCACTGAAGAGAGGGCAGGGTTAGCCAAGAACGATTCTTCCTCGGATTGGAGTTAAATAAGTACTAATCGGATAGGATGCAAATTGGGTAAAAACATCCCTCTCGTTTCCCCCTCAATCAGTGTTTCCTGTAAGCGGCCGCCCAAGAGTGATTCAAATCGGCTGATTAGCAGAGTGCCCACAGCCAACAGCACGTGTTTCTATTGGTGGTGCACATCTGCACATGCTTTTGTGCACAGAACAAAAATTATTCTGCACGTGGATAAAATTAGAGGGAACATTGCTCCCAGTGAAATTCAGTTGTTGTAGTGCACAGGCCCCAAACCCCAGTACTTCTCCAGTTGACTCTAGTCCTCAGAGTAAAAGACTTGGATGTTTAATATTATAACTAAGCAGAGAATCTCTTTACAAGAACAAGCCTTACCCTTAAAAAAGGGATAGAGACTAAGACAGAGAATATCTTATTGCCCTTATATAAATCTATGGTACGCCCACATATTGAATACTGCGTACAGATGTGGTCTCCTCATCTCAAAAATGATATTCTGGCATTAGAAAAGGTTCAGAAAAGGGCAACTAAAATGATGAGGGGTTTGGAACGGGTCCCATATGAGGAGAGATTAAAGAGATGGGACTTTTCAGTTTAGAAAAGAGGAGACTGAGGGGGGATAGGATAGAGGTCTGTAAAATCATGAGTGATGTGGAGAAAGTGAATAAGGAAAAGTTATTTACTTGTTCCCATAATATAAGAACTAGGGGCTACCAAATGAAACTAATGGGCAGCAGGTTTAAAATAAATAGAAGGAAGTTCTTCTTCACACAGCGCATAGTCAATCTGTGGAACTCCTTGCCTCAGGAGGTTGTGAAGGCCAGGACCATAACAGGGTTTAAAAGAGAACTAGATACATTCATGGAGGTTAAGTCCATAAATGGCTATTAGCCAGGATGGGTAAGGAACGGTATCCCTAGCTTCTGTATGTCAGAGGGTGGAGATGGATGGCAGGAGAGAGATCGCTTGATGAGTCCCCTTTCCACCTGGCAGGGACTGTAAAATCCCTGAGCCCCCGTTGGGTCACAAGTGGAAGGAAGTGCGCTGCGACAACACCGTCACGTGGCTGGCTTCGTGGACGGAGAACATCCAGAACTCCATCAAGTACATCATGCTGAACCCCAGTTCCAAGCTCAAGGTGAGCGCGCTCTGTGTGGCGCAACTGTCAAGGCCACATGCGGTAACTTCACAACCTTTGCAAGAGAGGCTGCAGTCTCTTGCAACTGTTACGCCTCTGACTGTGGGTGGTCTGGGGGGATGGAGCACTGGGCCGGGACTCAGGAGATCTAGGTTCTAGCCTATCTCTGCTACTGAGCTACCAGGTGACCTTGGGCAAGTCACTTCCTGTGTCAGTGCCTCCATTTCCACATCTGTAAAAGAGGGATAATGATCCGATCTCCTTCGTAAAGTGCTCCGAGATCTACCGATAACAAGTGCTAGCTAAGAGCTGAAGGTGCTTACTTTATGCTAATAACCAGAGTTGTTACGGAGTTTCACTAACGTGGTTGGGAAGACTGTTCTGTTTTACAGTAACCCCAGCAACGGTACTTTTGATAGGCCTGATGGCCCCACATTGTGCTTACTTGAGCTTAATACTAGCAACAAGCTTTGTTCTCCCTTTTTCGTTTAAAAAAAAAAAAAGGCAATTTCAATGTAAATGTGTGCAAAAAAAAAAAAAAGCAAACATGATTCCGGGCGGCATTCACAGGAGTGTTGTGAGCCAGACACGAGGAGTCATTTTTCCGCTCTGCTCAGCGCTGATTAGGCCTCAGCTGGAGAATTGTGTCCAGTTCTGGGCTCCACATTTCAAGAAAGCTGTGGAGAAACCGGAGAAGGTCCAGAGAAGAGCAACAAGTATGATGAAAGGCCTAGAGAATGTGAGCTGTGAGGGAAGGATGAAAGAATTGGGCTTGTTTCGTTTAGAAAAGAGAAGACGGGGGGGGGGGGACAGGAGAGCAGTTTTCAAGTTTCTGAAAGAGGAGGGAGAAAAATTTTTCCCCTTGGCCTCTGAGGACAGGACAAGCAGCAAGGACGGTTTAGGTTGGACGTTAGGAAAACCTTCCTCACTGTCAGGGAAGTCAAACACTGGAATAAATTGCCCAGGGAGGTTGTGGAATCCTCATCTCTGGAGATATTTAAGAGCAGGTTAGATAAATGTCTATCGGGGATGGTCTAGACAGTATTTGGTCCTGCCATGAGGGCAGGGGACTGGACTTGGTGACCTCTTGAGGTCCCTTTCAGTTCTAGGGTTCCCTGTTTCTATGTTATACAAGTGTAACAGGCTGGTATATAAGCATGCGAGTCAGGACACAAAATCAAAGCTTTCACTGGGATGTGAATGGTTAACTGGGTAACTGATAAGTCTCACCCTTAATAGGGTCAGCTTACTGGTTACTTTAACCAGTGGGGGCTGGAGAAGCCCCCCATCTGCTGTGGAGGTGGGGGTGCGCTACAGCTCACCCCCTATTTAATCAGTTAACCGATTAAACTTAACATTTAACCAGTTAACTAATGAAAAGGGATAGCATTAACTCAGGTCCGTGGCATTTCACCGAGCAGTCCGTTAGTAATCAAAGATCATAAATGTGTAACAATGGAGAGTTAATGCCTTAACATTGCTTGATTTACATTCTTACTCCTCTACTGGGGAGAAATACGTTCTGGTGATCCTCTGACAAGTACTGGGGGTCAGAGCTGATACAGTGCTTCTGCAAAGCCATCAGGGGGCGCTCAAACCATTTGTCCAAAACTTGTACAGCCTCTCTCTGACTTACGAATCGGTTACGGACCAAGCAATTGGTCGTAACTCGGTTTGGTCGTAAGTCGGACCCCATAGAGTTACATGCGACCGTGCTGTTCGTAAGCGCGGATCGCGGTTGTAATTCAGTGTCCGCCATTTACAACAGGTTTGGTCGTAACTGCAAAGGGTTGTAAGTCGACCATTCGCAACTCGGAGACCGGCTGTAGTTATTCCGGTTTAGCTTTAGTGACCTTAGAGAAATGATTAAAAAACCAAAACAAACCCCCAAATCTGAACAATATTTAGAACCCAAAGAGTGTTCTTAATAAGAGAATGTCATCGAAGCAGTTCCAATCTGGAATCAGGGAGTTCCTTTGTAAAGGATTTTATTCCTGGATCAGGCTAGGAATTATTTGGCAAAATTTTTGGTAGGAAAATGCTGGTGTGTCAAAATCAAAAAAATTTGTATGGGAAAATGCCTGCTTTGGTTGATTTTTTTTTTTCTTTGCACATTTTTTTAAAGGGTTGAAATTGTTGAAATGAGAATCTTGTTGAATTTTGAGAATCGTGTTTTCCAGCTCAAAATAACTTTTCGTTTCGAACTGGAAGCTCATTGTAATTGGGAAACACTGATCAAAATCCAAGCCGGATGGTGTGAAAGGATTGAAATGCAATGTTTTCATGGACCGGAATCAATTATTTTTCGAGACGTTCAATTTGTGAAAAATGTGAGATGTCGACTTGTATTCCAACCCGGGGATGGGAAATGTTTTGGATTCTCTGGAAATATTGGGCAGGCGGAGAAAGCTGTAGCTTGCCTAGCTCTGTGCGTTGCCCGTGACCGAGTTCGGGATGGCAGAGGGGTGCTGTTCAGAGAATTTGAAAACATCCTTTTTGCCTTCCAGGGGGAGAAGGACTGGCAGAAATATGAAGTCGCCAGGCGTTTGAAAGGGGTGGTGGACAAGATCCGTTCTCAATACCGCGCAGACTGGAAATCCAGAGAGATGAAGAAGCGGCAAAGATCCGTGGCCCTTTACTTCATTGACAAGGTGCTGGCTGCTTCTCTTGTTGGGCTTGGTGCTTTGTTTGGGACATGACTTCATCAGAGCGACCGTGACGCTTGCCGGTAGCTGCGCGTTGTGGTTAGCCTGTAGGGGAAGCCACTTGCGGTCACAGAGAACTTGGGAGTGGATTGTGATGGGTAGAGCCCTGCAAATCCGTGGATATCTGCTTTATATCTGCAACCGTGGGTGCGGATAGACGTGGCTTATTTTAGAGGATGCAGATACAAATTTTGTATCTAGAACCCTGCAAATTTGTGGCTGCTTTATCTCCGTGGGTCTCCGTATGGCCCGTTACAGAAAGGATGTGGAGACATTGGAATGAGACCAGCAGAGGGCAACCAAAATGATTCGGGGGCTGGAACACATGACCTACGAGGAGAAACTGAGGGATTTGGGCTTCTTTAGTCCACAGAAGAGAAGAGTGAGGGGGGATTTGGTAGCAGCCTTCAACTACCTGAAGGGGGGTTCCAAAGAGGATGGAGAGAGGCTGTTCTCAGGGATGACAGATGGTAGAACAAGGAGCAATGGTCTCAAGTTGCAGTGGGGGAGGTCTAGGTTGGATATTAGGAAAAACTATTTCCCTAGGAGGGTGGGGAAGCGCTGGGATGGGTTCCCTAGGGAGGGGTGGAATCTCCATCCCTAGAGGTGTTTAAGTCCCGGCTTGACAGAGCCGTGGCTGGATGATGGAGTTGGGGTTGGTCCTACTTTGGGCAGGGGGTTGGACTCAACGACTCCTGAAGTTTCTTCCAGCCCTTGGATTCTATGGTCCGTGGATACGAGGCAGAGATCCGCGGCTGATTTTTGCAGCTACAGAGGCGGATACGTGTTTTGTATCTGTGCAGGGCTCTCGCGAGGGGAAAAGCCCGGTTCTTTCCTGCCAGGGTACTTCTGCACAGCTGTTTGAAGGGCAGTCAGTAACGTAAGGACAAATGATGTAGCAAAGCAACTCCAGATGCTCGCGGGCCCTGCGGAGTCGCTGGGGCTCGGGGCCGTGCTGCGTGGGAAGACACGTTCAGTGCGTTTCTCACAGCATTGTAGCCTCTTTGCGCTAGTTTGTGGAAGGGGGCGCAGATGGGAAGATTAGGGGGTTTTGAATCTGGCCTGCTCTCCTCTGTCCCCTCTCCCCAGCTGGCCCTGAGAGCGGGGAACGAGAAGGAGGAAGGGGAGACGGCGGACACGGTGGGTTGCTGCTCCCTGCGCGTAGAGCACATCAAGCTGCACTCCGAGCTGGACGGGCAGGAGCACGTTGTGGAGTTTGACTTCCTGGGGAAAGACTCGATCCGGTATTACAACAAAGTGCCTGTGGAGAAACCGGTGAGCTGCGCTAGGAACTGGGACTCACCTGTGCTCCCAGAAATAGGTAGTCGATGTGCTCTCTCTCTCTCTCCAGCTCCCATTGCCCTGGTATCCAGGCGCCTCACAAGTCCCACGTGGGGTAGGACAGGGCTGTGATCTCCATTGTATAGATAGGGAAACTGAGGCACAGTGGGACTAAGTGACTCCCCCATGGCTGCCCAGGGAGGCAGTGTCAATGCAAAGACATGAACCCAGTTCTCCCAACCCCCAAGCTAGCACCCTAAAACCATTTGGCCACCCTTCTTATAAGAGCCTAAGAACAGCTGTGTGGGGTCAGAGCCAAGATCCATGTAGCCCAATGCCAGGGGCCGCAGAGGGAGTGTCCAGACCAGGGCATCAGGGATGTAACTATCCGTTAAAAAGGTTAACCGGTTAAACGATATAATAACCAAGGGGTGGTGCAGAGCAGCTGGGGTCTTTTAACCAGTTACCAACCCACAAGACGACCTTCCCTCTTCTCCCAGGACTCCTTCCTTTGCTTAACAGCCTTTGGTGAGGGAGCTTGTCAAAGGCTTTCTGAAAGTCTAAGCGCACTCTACCACTGCCGCTCCCTTGTCCATGTGCTTGTTGACCCCTTCAAAGAATTCAAATCGATTCCTCTCGTTGGAAGCTAAGACTTCCGGCTTGGGTGCGGAGCAAAGCCAATGGGCTTTCCCCGGCTTCGGGGCTTAGGTCTCGCTTCCTCGAGGAGATCAAAACGAAATGTCGAAATGTCGATGCGGGTCTGATGACCTACTGCAGTGCCGCCAGCCAGGGCCGGATCCGCTTGATCCACCAGATCTGCCGATTTGAGATTCACGCCTGCTGGTCCGGCTTGTCTCCTGGGAAAATGGACCCCAGCTCTTCTGTATCCGAGCTGAGAGGGTTCGTTTTCAGGATCCGCACCTTTCCCCGCCCCCTTCCCGCCACTGTCAGGTCACCGGGGTTCTTTGTACCACAGGCCTGCAGAGGTTAGTTTCTTCAGGCCACCCAAAGTCCTGGCTTTGCGCCGGTATGTTGGTGGGAAACGCTCAAATATACTTTTCCAATCCCGAATTACAGCATTAAGGAGATATTCCATCTCACAGAGCTGGAAGGGACCTTGAGAGGTCGTCGAGTCCAGCCCCATGCCTGGACCAAGCACCATCCCTGACAGATTTGCCCCAAATCCCTAAATGACCCCATTGAGGATTGAACTCCCAACCCTGGGTTTAGCAGGCCAGTGCTCAAACCGCTGAGCCATCCCTTCCCCCAAATTAGAGGAAATAAAACGCCCTGGGCCGCAGGCGACTGGCTTCTGTGTATTTAGGGGGGTACTTTTTCTGTCCTCATTCGCTTCGGCCTTCATTAGCAACGGATTCACATGCACCGGGGTCTGGTGATGGCACCTGGGGTTTATAGCTCGCTCCGCCAGTGGGCAGGGATGGGCGCACCGTTTCCCTTTCGCCGGTCTGTACCGTCGCGTGCGACACCTCAAAGCAGCCAGGCAGCTCGCGAGGGGGTTGTCTTGAGGCAGAGACACGGAGGTGAAAGGAGGCGGGGGGCGCCCGGGGGCGCAGCTCCGGCAAGAGCCGGCTGAGCTGCGGCAGAAGCCAGCGGGGAGCATTTAAAGAGCTGGCAGGCACCCGGGTTGCTATAGGACAGCCCCTGTAAGAAATGTTTTACGTTCCTGTCATGGCTGCAGAGAAGGGCGCCCAGAGTCTCCAGGGGATGGGGGCCACCGTGGGTGTTAAATCCAGGAGCCCCCGGCCGTCAGCTGGAAGGCGGTGGGGTCTACGCGGAGGCTTAGCGAACCTTGCTGTGGGGTTCTTCCATGAAGGGTCCAGCAAGGAGTGGCCTCCGCGAGCGTTCCCCCAGCACGTCTGCCGGGGGTGTCATCCGTCCTGTCGTTGCAGGTGTTCAAGAACTTGCAGTTATTCATGGAGAACAAGGACCCCGGGGACGACCTCTTTGACCGGCTGAACGTGAGCTGGATTCCTCTTGTTCTGGAAACCCAGGGGCCGGTAGTGCTCCCCAGAGCTGGGCGCATCTTGCGAACAGTCTTGCCGGCAGGACCCCACTTCGCTCAGTTCCATTCTTTGAGAGCTGGCTGCCCAAGGCACTGCCCCTTCTGGGGGCATGGAGCCGCCTCCCCCCACACACTCGCCTGGCCCCGGGGCCCGCAGTGGCCACAGCAGTACAGTGTGTGCATCAGGAAGTCAGTCAGATGAGGCCACTGATCTCGTTGTACTTGTGACTCTGATTTTTAAGCCCGTCCTCTCCCGTGATCAGCTAGTGCCCCCCGCCGTGTCCCTCAGCACCTTGCTGCGGCGTGAGCATTCCCTCAGCTGCTGGGCTCTCCAGACCCGACGGCCGACCCATGGCAAAGCTTCCTGCAGCGGCTTAGAAGAGCCCCAAACGGTCCAGGGGTGCAAAGGGTGCGGAGGGCAGCCTAGAGGCCGTTTTTAGACTGGGCTAACCCTTTCCCTCACCCGTAGGCAAGTAGCCGCCTCCTGAGGGCAGCCATGTTGTTAGAAAAGCCAGGTTCTGCTACCTCCGCCAGTGTCCGTGGGGGTAGCCCACGCCACCCTTCAGAAGCGAGGCGGAGCAAGGCTGCTTCAGAAGCGAGGGCTTGGCGGTGTCACCTCTCACATGCAAGAGGCCTAAACAGCTCTCCAATAGGGCTGGGCCGGCCGCCCGGGGCCTTCTGTGGTTTCTCTCCTGGAATTTGACCTCCTCCTGAGTTGCGTTAGCCCCCTCCGCCCGCAAATACACAAATTGTTTCCATTTCTGGGCGCGCTTCTCTCTCCCATGCTGCCTCAGCGTTTGTACTCAGGCACGCCCTCCCCTCCCCTCCAAAAAATACAAACGCCTGATGCTTCTGTGGGAGGGTCCTTATCTGTAAGAGCAAGGAGGCCTAGCTAAGTAACCCGAGCACAAAGATCTTGGGGCCTGCTACAGTCGATGACCCTCCAAGCACAAACACCCATGGCCTTGCGGTGTAGTATCTGCTGCTTTTGGTGGGACTGTGATCCCATGTGGACCAGCAGTGTAAATTCTAGGAGACATTGAGTCAGGTGGGAGCCAGGGCACATCCATGGAGCTATGCCAGGGGCCTTTAGGTGGGAGCCACATCCTCCAATTTCACAGCTGATGTGCAATGTTACAAGGGATCTGTGTGCTCCTGTCGCTTCCGGCGCCTACAGTCGGCTGGCTTACAAACGGGAATAGAAAACCGAGCGCTTTACTTCCCCGCGTTTTACTATTTCCCCCTCGGTCTTGTCTTTTTTTTTTCCAGACGACAGTGTTGAACAAGCACCTCCAGGATTTGATGGACGGGCTGTCAGCCAAGGTGTTCCGAACCTACAACGCGTCCATCACCCTGCAGGAGCAGCTGAAAGCGCTCACGAACGGTAAGAGAGCGCGCCTTTCAGCAACTTGTGGAACTCCATGCCACTGGAGGAGGTGGCACCGAATGCCACGTGCCCATTGACACCTGCAGTTAATGCCCGTTAGGATGAGTTGTCGAGTCGCCGATGAGCGTAAGAATACAGTAATTCCTCATTTAACGCAGTAGATACATTTCAGAAAATGATCGTGCTAAGTGAAAACGTGTTATGCGGGGTCAATTTTCCCATTGAAAATAATGGAAAAGGTGAGGGTTGCGTTTGCGCTCGCGGCTCCAGCCTGCACTGTTAGCAGCTGGGACCAGGACATAAAGATGAGGGAGAAAGGGGACTGAGTTATAGCAGGCAGGGGAGATGTTTGGCTCTGGGGAAGGGTAGGGAAGGGGAGGACGGGAGGGGGCTGGCAGCCGGCAGCTGGGTTTTCCCAGCTGGCCAGTCGCTGGCAGCAAAGGTTTGACGTTTGCCGCACCGTTCCCCGGCGACCCCCTCTGGCCAGATGCCTTGCTATCGCGAAAACATGTTAAGCAGGCACGTGTTAAGCAAGGAATTGCTGTAGTCAGGGAAGGGAAGAGGTTGTACTTTTCTTTCCCGGTGAGTTGGCAGCATTATCTTGGGCATATCAGTTGGCCTTTCTATGAGGCATGAATTGTTCGCTGTCTCTGGAAGCAAGATATCGGGCAAGCCCTATGCCTCCCCAAAACCCTCTTTCCTTCTTCCTGCCTCTCATCATTAGCAGAGGCAATGATGAAACACACAGAAGGGCGCGTAGCTAATTTTTTAGTTTATAGTTCGTTTATTATGCAATGTTCTAATACGACATGTTAATTAATCATAGCCCGGGGTCGAGGAGCTTTTTTGGGTCGGGGGCTGCTGACCCACAGAAAAATCGGGGGGGGGGGCACACATAAGCGAGAAGCAAAAAAAACCCCAAAACATAAAGAACCCCCCCCCCGACTGAGAAGCAGAAAGATACTCCCCACATTCCCCTCCCACACCAGAGCCTCGGGGGCCCAGCCTAGTAGATGATGTGGGCTCCAGCCCCACAGCAGGGTGACGAGGGGTCGAGTGCTAGCACAGGCCCCCCAGTGCTATGAGGAGCCCTAAGCCATGGGGGCTGGATCCAGGCAAGCCAGAGGTTGCATTCAGCCCCCAGGCCGTAGCTTCCCCACCCCTGTTATAGCCTATCATAGTATGTTCAATTAAGTTCAGTTGTAGGAGGATAGAGGCATACGCTTGATCCGTGTGTAGGTGCTGGGTTGCCTGCAGTTACGGGTGAGGCCTGGGTGTATTTCGGAGCAGGATATTCTGTGACCGTCATAATTGTAGTGGCAACGTGAATGAAATGGAGGAAAGATTGTGGGCTTTGTTCTCCTGAGTGTCTGTGCTACGGGCCTGTGGCTTCATGTGTTCCTAGGAGCTCTAGATCTGGAACAAGCCGACGTATCTCTGGTGGACGTGAGACTGTAGCCACCAGAGCCGACCCCTTGACAGTAGAATAAACACCCCACACCCGTAAATCTTAACTGTCAATGAAAAGGCTCAGCTGGTGTATCCTGTCAATCTGATCATTTGTTTCCGAACTTGACGGCCTGTGAGCTTTGCCCTCCTTCCGTTTCCTGTCCCGGGGGCTTGACAGTCACGTTTTGCTTTTCCAGCTGACGACAACGTCGCAGCAAAACTGCTGTCCTACAACCGAGCCAACCGAGCGGTGGCCATTCTGTGTAACCACCAGAGAGCCACGCCCAAGACCTTTGAGAAGTCAATGCAAAACCTGCAGGCCAAGGTAACGGCGGAATCGTGCAGTGGAAGGCCAGGGCTCCTAATGGGAGGGTGCTGGACCCAGTTGTGGAACTCTAGAGTTTAAGGATGGAAGGACTCACTAGATCACCCAGTCCGACCTCACGTTGGTGCCAGCAGCAGCACCTGGCACCAATGTGCCCTCTAATTGTCTCCATTCATGTGCGGAATAAATTTTGTTATATGCACTGGGACATTTTGAATGTGCACCACCCGGAGAAACGCAAACTTAGCTGTGGGTGCTGTGCTCATCAGCCAGGTGGCATTTGAATTTCTCCTGATGGGTGCACAAGCACCCAGCTCACAGGGAACACTGCCCGGCACACACCCCAAACTCCCCAACCAGAATTAGACCAAGGTATCACAGCCTTCGGGAGAGTGAACTAGACTGTGTCACACACAGAGACCAGGAGGGAGTGAGGTGCACTAGAGCCCACAGCTCCTGCTAAGGCCACAGCTGGAGTCGTGAGCTCTCTGAGCAGGTAGGATACTTTCTGAGAGCAGCTCTGCCCATCTTTATGAGCAAGACACGAGAAGTCGTTCTTCCGCTCTGCTCTGTGCTGATTAGGCCTCAGCTGGAGTATTGTGTCCAGTTCTGGGCACCGCATTTCAGGAAAGCTGTGGAGAAATAGGAGAAGGTCCAAAGAAGAGCAACAAGAATGATGCAAGTTCTAGAACACATGAGCTATCATAGAATCATAGAATCATAGGACTGGAAGGGACCTCGAGAGGTCATCGAGTCCAGCCCCCCGCCCTCAAGGCAGGACCAAGCTCCGTCTACACCATCCCTGACAGATGTCTGTCTAACCTGTTCTTAAATATCTCCAGAGAGGGAGATTCCACCACCTCCCTTGGCAATTTATTCCAATATTTGACCACCCTGACAGTTAGGAATTTTTTCCTAATGTCCAATCTAAACCTCCCCTGCTGCACTTTAAGCCCATTACTCCTTGTCCTGTCCTCAGAAACCAAGAGGAACAAATTTTCTCCTTCCTCCTTGTGACACCCTTTTAGATATTTGAAAATCGCTATCATGTCCCCCCTTAATATTCTTTTTTCCAAACTAAACAAGCCCAGTTCATGAAGCCTGGCTTCATAGGTCATGTTCTCTAAACCTTTAATCATTCTTGTCGCTCTTCTCTGTCCCCTTTCCAATTTCTCCACATCTTTCTTGAAATGTGGCGCCCAGAACTGGACACAGTACTCCAGCTGAGGCCTAACTAGTGCAGAGTAGAGCGGCAGAATGACTTCACGAGTTTTGCTTACAACACACCTGTTGATACAACCTAGAATCATATTTGCTTTTTTTGCAACAGCATCACACGGTTGACTCATATTCAACTTGTGGTCCACTATGACCCCTAGATCCCTTTCCGCCATGCTCCTTCCTAGACAGTCGCTTCCCATCTTGTATGTATGGAACTGATTGTTATGAGGGAAGACTGAAAGAACTGTGCTTGTTTAGGGTCTGTCTAGACCAGATTGGGTTTTTTAGAAAAAACTGCCCTTTTTTTTGAAAAAACGTCACCGGCATCCACACTGCAATTGCGTTCTTTCGAAATTAAATCGAGAGAATGCGGGGGGAGGGAGGGGTTCAACATTGGTCAATCTCAAATGATGAGGAAGAACGCCTTTTTCGAAAGAGCTCTTTCGAAAAGAGGCGTGCGTGGAGGCAGAACAGGGGCATTTTTCGAAAGAGGAGGCAGTTGAAAAAAGCCCAGGTGGCTATTCTGTGAATAGCAATCAGAGCTTTCTTTCCAGAGTGCGTCCATGCAGTCTGGACACACTCTTTTGAAAAAACAGATTTCAAACAAGGAGTAACGGTAGTTCAGAATAGGAAACCTAGTCCCAACTACCTAGTCCGTGCCGCGTGTAGCCGCGCAGCACGGAGTCCGCACTAGCGGACATTTAAAAATGGCGGCGCCCGGCAAGATGCAAATGAAGCCCGGGAAATTCAAATCCCGGGCTTCATTTGCAACTCCGGTTGCCTACATTACCACCCTCGTTCGAACTAGGGTGGTAGTGTAGACATACCCTGAGCTATCCCTCCCTCCGTTGGAAAAACTATCCCTGCATCCTCTGATCTGTGAAAGCAAAGGGAAAAGATGCATGTCCACTTCAGGATCTGATATTCATTATATCAATGCAGCATTATATAGGTGTATTTGTAGTGGGGTCATATCAGAATTAGTTCTTGGCCATACTCTAACAGGCTTGGTAGTGTGGATGCTCCACTTATTATTTCGAAACAGGGGGGAGGGGTACTTTGAAATAACCCCCCAGTGTGGATCAGGACATAAAGAGTAATTAGCTGTTAAAATTGTGTGCAGCTAAACAATATGGCTACGTCTACACTGGCACCCTTTTCTGGAAATGCTTAAAACGGAACAGTTTTCCGTTATAAGTTTTTCCAGAAAAAGCGCGTCTACATCATCATTTTCGCAATCGGGACTTTTTCGTGGAAAAGAAATCTGTGCTGTCTATACTGGCCCTTTTCCGGAACAGTTTTCTGGAAAAGGACTTTTGCCCGATAGGGAGCAGCATAGTTTTTCCGGGAAAGCACTGATGATTTTACAGTAGATCGTCAGTGCTTTTCCGGAAATTCAAGGGGCCAGTGTAGACAGCTGGCAAGTTATTCCGGAAAAGCAGCTGATTTTCCGGAATATGTGGCCAGTGTAGACACAGCCCCCTAGTTTGGAAAAGAGAAGACTGAGGGGACAGGATGGTGTTTTTCAAGTATCTAAAAGGGTTTTCCAAGGAGGAGGAGGAAAAATTGGTCTCCTTGGCCTCTGAGGATAGAACAAGTAGCAATGGGCTTAAACTGCAGCAAGGGAGGTTTAGCTTGGACATTAGGAAAAACTTCCTACCTGTCAGGATGGTGAAACACTGGAATAAATTGCCCAGGGAGGTTGTGAAATCTCCCTCACTGGAGATATTTAAGAGCAGGTGAGACACATCTATCAGGGATGATCTAGACGGTGCTTGGTCCTGCCATGAGGGCAGGGGCCTGGACTTGATGACCTCTCAAGGTCCCTTCCAGTTCCCGTGCTCTGTGATTCTATGATCTTCTGAGGACGAGGCCTGGCTAAAACCAGGCCCGCACAAAAGGACTGTGGGGTGCTCAAAGCGCTGGAGAAGGATGATAGGAAATCGAGGGGGGAGCTGACAAGGAAACTGAATTGCGCCTGTGATGGAGACGAGCCGGTGGTGCTGGGTCGCTGTCGGGGCTTCTCTGGGGAGAACGGAAGCTCGGGGTAATTTGGGTTCTTTTTCCCAGATCGACGCCAAGAAGGAGCAGCTGGAGGAGGCGCAGGTGGAGCTGAAGAGAGCCAAGGCAGATCTCAAAGCCAAAAAAGACGTGAAATCTAAAGCGTGAGGGTCTCTTTTTTTTTCCACCGTCTTTCTCAGCAGAGGGACTCAAAGTGGCACTGGGGGCATGTCTGCCCCACACAGTTAAATGGGCTTATGTCGACGAACAGCCACTGCCTCGCGCTCACGCTGTGCTCCTGTTCGTGGTGAGCGTCCGCACCAGGGGCACGTACACCGATTTCACCGCCAGTGTGGGGCACGCACAGCCGGCGCCCCTCTGCCTGGGGCTCCTCGCCACCCTCTCTAGTCCCTCACCAGGCAGCAGGGCTCCGGCTGTCGGCCCCGGGCGGCAACAGCCGATGTAAGCACCAGTGTCTGCGCAGACACTGCGTCCGTCTAAGGATATTGACCTGAGCGCCACGCCTCACGGAGGCGGAGCTATGAAGTCAGCGCGGCGGGTGAGTTCCATCGCCGGGAGTGACGTTTTCATGTAGATATAGCAGGGCTGTATCGACTTCACTTTTCATATGGCAGCTTAACGCTAGGCTAGGGCTGTGGTAGTGTAGTCGATTAACCGATAAGCAAAACTTATACGTTAATGCTGTAGACACCCCCTCCCTCCTCACCACCACCAGTAAATTTTTTTACCAAGGGTGTGCACCTCTAGGGGTTTAAAATCGGCCTTTATTATGAGACAATTCCCGATCAAGAAACCTTCCAGTGTCCAATCTTGCAGGCTCGGGCCTAAGAACTAGTCAGGCTTTTCCTTACAAGCAGTAGGCCGTGTTGGCCAGCAGCCCGGCTCAGTCCAGGCTGGGGGGTCGGGGACCCCCCCCTGCCGTAGCGCTGCATTTCAAGTGTTGTTAGGAGGCAGGCGGGCAGGCAGCCCGGCTCAGTTCCTGCTCATCTTGAGTCCAGGAGCCCAGCTCCCACCCCGGACGGGCTGCTGCCATCTCTGTATCAGAGCCAGCAGCATGGGGCGACAGGCAGCCCGTCCGGGAGGGAAGCTGGATTTGAAACTGGCTCCTCTCGTGGACCAGCTCCTGCCTGGCACCCCACGCTGCTGCCTCTGATCCAGAGGCAGCAGTGTAGAGTGGCAGGGAGGGGGCTCCTCGGGAACATAAGACCATAACATAAGAACGGCCGTACTGGGTCAGACCAAAGGTCCATCTAGCCCAGTATCCTGTCTGCCGACAGTGGCCAGCACCAGGTGCCCAGAGAGGGTGGACCAAATGCAATGATCAAGCGATTTGTCTCCTGCCATCTCTCCAGCCTCTGACAAACAGAGGCCAAGGACACCATTTTATCCCCTGGCTAATAGCCTTTTATGGACCTAACCTCCATGAAATTATCTAGCTTCTCTTTAAACTCTATTATAGTCCTAGCCTTCACTGCCTCCTCTGGCAAGGAGTTCCACAGGTTGACTACACACTGTGTGAAGAAGAACTTTCTTATATTCGTTTTAAACCTGCTCCCCATTAATTTCATTTGGTGTCCTCTAGTTCTTCTTTTTAGGGAACTAATAAATAACTTTTCTTTATCGGCCCTCTCCACACCACTCATGATTTTATAGACCTCTATCATATCCCCCTCAGTCTCCTCTTTTCTAAACTGAAAAGTCCCAGTCACTTTAGCCTCTCCTCATATCGGACCCGTTCCAAACCCCTAATCATTTTAGTTGCCCTTTTCTGAACCCTTTCCAAGGCCAAAATATCTTTTTTGAGGTGAGGAGACCACATCTGGACACAGTATTCAAGAGGTGGGCATACCATAGTTTTATACAGGGGCAGTAAGATATTCTGGGTCTTATTTTCTATCCCTTTCTTAATAATTCCTAGCATCCTATTTGCCTTTTTGCCCGCCACTGCACACTGTGTGGAAGTTTTCAGAGAACTGTCCACGATAACTCCAAGATCTCTTTCCTGATTTGTTGTAGCCAAATTAGCCCCCATCATACTGTCCCTATAGTTGGGGTTATTTTTACCAATGTGCATTACTTTGCACTTATCCACATTAAATTTCATTTGCCATTTTGTTGCCCAATCACTCAGTTTGGTGAGATCTTCTTGGAGTCCCTCACAGTCTGCTTCTGTCTTGACTATCCTAAATAGTTTGGTATCATCTGCAAACTTGACCACCTCACTGCTTACCCCTTTCTCCAGATCGTTTATGAATAAGTTGAACACGATTGGTCCCAGGACTGACCCTTGGGGGACACCACTAGTTACCCCTCTCCAATCTGAAAATTTACCATTTATTCCTCCCCTTTGTTTCCTGTCTTTTAACCAGTTCTCAATCCAAGAAAGGACCTTCCCTCTTATCCCATGGCCATGTAATTTACACAAGAGCCTTTGGTGAGGGACCTTGTCAAAGGCTTTCTGAAAATCCAAGTATACTATATCTACTGGATCCCCCTTGTCCGCATGTTTGTTAACCCCTTCAAAGAACTCCTGCACCCTCTCTCCCACCCAGACCTCCACCCCAAGCCCGCTTCCCGTAGTCCCCCTTCCACACACTGAACTCCTCGTTTTTGGCCCCATCCCAGGATGTGGAGGGTGCCACAAAATCTACTAGCCTTGGGCCCCCTAGGCTCTGATGTGTGAGGGGAATGTGTATATGGAGGGTTGTTTTCTTTCTCGCTTTTGTGTGGCCCCCAACTGGTTTTTCTGCCCCAAACCCAAAAAAGGTTCCCCACCGCTGTGTCAAACAAAACCTCTAGGTCACAGTCCTCATAGCTGTGGCCAGCGGTGGGTTGACTCCTGTGGCCAGCGGTGGGTTGACTCCTGTGGCCAGCGGTGGGTTGACTCCTGTGGCCAGCGGTGGGTTGACTCCTGTGGCCAGCGGTGGGTTGACTCCTGTGGCCAGCGGTGGGTTGACTCCTGTGGCCAGCGGTGGGTTGACTCCTGTGGCCAGCGGTGGGTTGACTCCTGTGGCCAGCGGTGGGTTGACTCCTGTGGCCAGCGGTGGGTTGACTCCTGTGGCCAGCGGTGGGTTGACTCCTGTGGCCAACGGTGGGTTGACTCCTGTGGCCAGCGGTGGGTTGACTCCTGTGGCCAGCGGTGGGTTGACTCCTGTGGCCAGCGGTGGGTTGACTCCTGTGGCCAGCGGTGGGTTGACTCCTGTGGCCAGCGGTGGGTTGACTCCTGTGGCCAGCGGTGGGTTGACTCCTGTGGCCAGCGGTGGGTTGACTCCTGTGGCCAGCGGTGGGTTGACTCCTGTGGCCAGCGGTGGGTTGACTCCTGTGGCCAGCGGTGGGTTGACTCCTGTGGCCAGCGGTGGGTTGACTCCTGTGGCCAGCGGTGGGTTGACTCCTCTGGCCTGACTGAAAGTTGGCTCCTTCTCCTGATTTGGTAAGAGCAGCAGGCTCCATCTCTGTTGTGTGGAGGATTTGTTTGCCGAGGCGTGCATAGGACGGCGAGCGTTGCAGGGTGTCGCTCTGCTTTGTTTCCCGTGTTTAACCTCCCGCCTGACTTGTCCCTGCTCTCTCGCCAGCGCCGTGGAGAAGAAGAAGAAGCTGCTGGAGAAGCTCGAAGAACAGCTGCTGAAACTGAACGTTCAAGCCACGGACAAGGAGGAGAACAAGCAGATTGCTCTGGGCACGTCCAAGCTGAACTATCTGGATCCCAGGATTAGCGTGGCCTGGTAGGTCGCTGGCTCGCTGCGGGGTCGTTGCTTTGCCGCGAGGTGGGCCTGGCCCGGACACGCCGCTCACGGCTGCCCGTGCAGAATGAAATCACCACCAGCCCAACCCCCGCTCTCCTCGAGCCTCCGGGGATGACGATTTTCTAGAGCTGTGATTTTATAATTTTCAGCAACACCCCCACGAAATATTTTTAAAGTACATTTTAAACTCTGGTCCTGTGGACTGACACAGTAAATTCAGAAACTGACCGGATAGAACCGGGGTTGGCAAATGCCTGTTACATGGCTCCTTCACCACGTGAATGGCTCTTTCGCAGGTTCAGTGTCTGCTAATAGCTCTGGCCGGCTTTGTCGCTCTAAGTTCTCTAGATCCTCTCCGGAGGAGGCAGCGCCACAGAACAGGGGTAGGAAGAGGAAGGTGGGTGGGCATTAAGACCAGCGATGCCTCAGATTTTCAGGTGCCCTACGCAGCTGCGTATTCTGCAGATGGGTACGGAGGACCCTCGCCGCGAGTTTTTCTGTGTGGGGGTGTTGCGAGCTGTCGGGCTCCCCCTCAAACCCTGCTTTGAAAAAGTGTTTTCGGTGTATACCGGGGAGTGGCACTCAGGTTTGCAGGGTGAATGGCGTCAGCAGGACAAATGTGTGAGCACCATTGAGTTAGCAGGGGATGCGCCCAAAGTCCGGCAGGGAAGCAGGCTGCGCTGGGGGTTGAACTAGTCTTTTGAGACCCTGGCCGGAGTCTCGTAGGCTTTACGGTCTGAAGGGACCATCGTGTTCATCTAGTCAGGTTTCCTGCACATTGCAGGCCACAGACCCCTCCTGTAATAGACCCCCACACACAGCAAGGAGCCCTGTGGCACCTCAGAGACCAACAAGTTTATTAGGCCATCAGCTTTGGTGGGTAAAAGCCACTTCATCAGCTGGATTGGAGTGGCAGTGACAGAAGCAGGGGGAGATATAAGGAAGGAGTTGCTTCTGAAGCTAACTCAGTCAGAGTGGAGCTGGGTCATTCGCAGCATTTGGAGTGGAGATGTGAATATCCAGAGAGGGGAAATTGCCTTTGTAATGCGTTAACCAGGTGAAATCCTTATTTGGTCCTAAGTTGATAGTGTTGAATTTGCAAATGAATTCCAGGTCGGGCTGTCTCCCTTTGTAACCGGGATCTGAAATCCTTTTGTAGTAGGAAGGCTACTTTCAAATCCATTCCTGGATGTCCAGGCAGGATAAAACCTTCCCCTCCCGGTCCATGTGTGTTGCCATTCCCGATGTCTGATTTGTGTCCCTTTGGCCAAACCGAACAGCGTACGCTAGTGTTTCTTAAACTGTGCGCCGCGGAGAACAGCAGAATTCAAAATGGCTGCCCTTGAAGGGGCGGGTGACCTTTTTTTCTCAATAACTTCCTCCCGCCTGACCCTTTTCCCCCTGACTTTTTTTTTTTTCTCAACCAAAAATCCTCGGTGTTCCTCATTTAAAAAAAAATTATTGTTTGGTGTTCCTCGGCTTTAAAAAGTTTAAGAAACACTGGTGTACGCCAATGTCCGTGGCAGAGGGGCGCTGCTGGCATGTGGTGGCCTAGATCTCATTAGTGGAAGTGCTGGTGGATGAGCCTCTGACGTGGTGGCTGATGTGGGTAGGCCCTGTGAGGGGGTCGCTTGTGTAGACGTGTGGACAGAGCTGGCACCGGGGTTTGCTGACCTCCTCAAAGCCTGGCTCAAAGACTCCACGTTAGAGAGAATCTGCAATTTAGACGAGTTCAAATCAGCAAGTGGGCCTGTACAGCAGAGGAAGGCAAACCCCTCTCCCCAGGGTCCCTGCCAATCGGAGCTGGGAAAAATTCCTTCCCAACCCCGAATAGAGCCATCAGTGGGCCCCTGAGCACGTGGGCCAGACCCAGTAGGGGAAGGGATAGCTCAGTGGTTTGAGCATTGGCTTGCTAAACCCAGGGTTGTGAGTTCAATCCTTGCGGAGGCCGTTTAGGGATTTGGGGCAAAAATTCATCAGGGATGGTACTTGGTCCTGCTAAGAAGGCAGGGGATTGGACTCAATGACCTTTCAAGGTCCCTTCCAGTTCTAGGAGATAGGCAATCTCCATTCATTTAAATTGAATTTAATTTAGACTTCTGGGAAGGAATCCTTTGTAGTAACTCAGAGCCCTCCCCGGCTAGTGTGTCATCCCCCACTCTTGGAGATATTTGCTGCCAGCAGCCACAAATTGGCTCTATGCTGTTGTAGACAATCTCCTTATATCATTCCCTCCCAGCACTTCGCCGGGTCAGTCCTATCCCGCCATTCCAGTGTATAACAAAAAACTGAAAAGCCTTGTGCTCCAGTAGTGCTGGGAAGGGGGAAGAGATGCATGTCTTAAGAACGTCCGGATGGGGTCAGACCTAGCCCAGGGTCCTGTCTGCCGACAGTGGCCAATGCCCAGTGCTCCAAAGAGCGTGAGCAAAACATCCTCTGGCAACCCCTCAAACCGCGGCTCCGTCCCTCGGTTATCTCAGAGCGTTTGCATGAGCCTAGAGAGACCCCTCAGAAAGCATTCGCCAATGCCCCGTAGGTCAGAGTCCTGCCCCGACAGGGAATTGAACTAGCAGAACTGGTAGCATTAGCCTGGTGCAGCTGCCGGCTAACGTGCCACACCGGCGCTGTGCTTGCCCGCAGGTGTAAGAAGTTTGGCGTGCCTATCGAGAAGATTTACAACAAGACGCAGAGAGAGAAGTTCGCCTGGGCGATTGACATGGCCGACGAAAACTTCGAGTTCTGAGAACGGGACTCGCCACCCGAGAAGCGGAAACATCCTCGTGCTCTGCTGGTCTCTGGCGAAGTTTTGATTGTCGGGGAAAATGGTTCGCATACGTCATGTTGTTTTGGATATAAAAAGAACACCCGGAGCGTCAGTCGGAAACACGGGTACTACTTCCAGGGGCACCAACCCGGAGTCCAGTGACTGTAAATATGAACTTTCAGTTCTTTCTCTCTGCTGTCAAATACTTTGTGCCTTCATGCAGTTCTGACATGATGGAGGTTAGGTCCGAGTCTGAATTGTGCAGCATAAAACGAGATTAAATTACCTGATCCCATCTCTATTCCCTCTCTGAATCCTTGCATGCTGCCGGAGAGTCCACTAGACAAAACACACAAAGGTATGATGCCGCCAGAACCAAGCAACTGGAAACGCTGAGCCGCTAACATGACAGAAGGGGCGAGGCAGGAGACCTGGATCGACCGCGAGAAGGGGCAATCTCCAGATTTCTAAACCTGTCCGAGCACGAGTAAGAATTGCAGGATGTTTCGTTTGCTGGATTCTTTGGAAGGGGAACCTGGGTCAGATGCACACCCGTAATTACAGTGGCTCCGCTTACAGAATCAACCTTCCACTTACAAAAGGAGCGATGATGGAAAAGGCCAGCCGGCAATTAGCGTTGTGACACAATGGATGGGGGAATTGCACGGTGACCATCATGTTCATTTGAGCAAAGCGCTTGAATGCAACCACTCTGGATGACCGTGGTGTAGAAGAACCGTTTTTTTGTGGCCCTGCTCCAGAGCCCGCTGAAGTCACTAGACGTTTTTCCATCGACTTCGGTGGGCTTTGGGTCAAGCCGCAAGTCTCGTCAGATAGCGACCAAAGCAAATCGCCACGTCTGTTCACTTTCACATGGTGGAAAGGTGACAGGTTGGGAGTAGGGGTAGTAAAGTTAAGTAGGTCCGTGGCTACAGGTCATGGCTCTGTAGTAGCAGCGACAATATGTGGCACACAACGTCACAGACTACGCCCGTGTTTTCCACTGACCTGGTGACCGCTTGCTGCACCCAGCACAAACTGGATGGGGATATACTGTAGGTAAAGTACAGTATAATGAAGACTTTTGATCACTTTTGATATGAAGTGCAAAGGGTTTTTTTACGTGTCTTGCAAGCAAGACACCTATAATACTTTTGTCTTTACATTTTTGCACCCCAAAGGTTACATTGGCTCCCAGAGGAACCCTTCTATCCTTCAGTGGATAAAGTTCACTACAGCATTGTGGTCGGGGGCTCCTTTTCTGCGTGGGGCTTTTCAGCCCGTTGCTCGTGTGTTCACTTATTTCAGTTCTCGTTTCTGTTTGACGTTAGGTGCTGGAAATGTTTCATTAAAATCTGAAATATTTGGAGCAAATATTTGTCCTCTCGTCTTGTTTATCCAGGTAAAGCAGGTACAGGGCCCCAGCCCTGCTTTGGGAGAAACCTACATTGGTAGTTGGTCTTCGGGGCACCGAGGAAGGGGTTGCCCATGCTTGTTTTTACTAATATAAATGAGCGTATCTGCATGTAAATATCATCTTTCCATTTACCTTTTCCGGGATTCTTAACTCTAACCATTCTCCTCTGCCTTGAACCCCACCTTCCCAAATCAAGATGTCTGGACTAAACATATATTGTTCCTGCCTCAGTTGAGTGGCTCTTGGAGGGTGACTAGAGGTGCACCTGTTACATGCTAGGTGTGTGCGTGTCTTTATCCTTCTTGTCTGGAGAGCGGTGGCTGCTGACAGAGAGCCCAGCGCTACAGGCAGCAGTGCAGAAGTAAGAGTGACAATACCGTACCACAGTGTTCCCCAGTTTTATTTGGCCACAGAACCCTTTTAAACTTGAAATAATTTTGCAGAACCCCTAATAACAGTCTAATCTATGGAGCTGAAAAAGTAGACCACAAATAAGTAAGGATAATAAACAAATGCTAAACAAGGTCCTGAGAGCAACATTTCGTTTAATTGCACATATGGAAAAACAAAAATCACATCATATTAATTATTTTTTTTAAATCATAAAATATTATTGGAATGGAATTTTCTCGTGGAACCTTCGTTTCCACTTTGCGGAACCCCGGGAACGCTGTCTGGGAAACACTGCCGTATTATCCTTCCGCACTGCTGGCAGTGGCTTCTGCTTCAGAGCTGGGCTCTAAGGCTATGTCTCCACCATGGAGTTTTTCCGGGAATCCTGGGGGTATCCCGGATAAAATCCACTTTTTCAGAACAGTTTCCAAAAAAGCGGGCACGTTCCTTTGGAAGCCCCTTATTCCTCTTTTTATGAGGAATAAGGGCTCTTCAGAAAGAGGAGGTTTTCCGACATTTGGCCCTGTGTAGACGGGTCGAATGTCGGAAAAAGCCTCTTCCAAAAGAATAACTGGAAAAAGGTTTGCAGTTTGCGCAATTTTTTCTGATAAAACCCTGCAGTGTAGACATTGCCCAGCTGTGAAGGCAGCGTCACGGCCAGCAGCAGTACCCCAATCCCCCTTCCTCATAACCTTGTGATCCCCCACAGCTCCTTTTTGGACCAGGACTCTACAAATACAACCCTGGGACATTCCAGATGTACAGAGCTCAAGCCGTGACATTGATGATTTTTAAAGGCCTATGACTGACTTTGGTAGGGCCCTAAACGCGAGGCTATTGGGGATTGCACCGTGTGTCATCTGTATTGCTGAGCCAGGGCTCCAGGAGCCGTAACTCACCCAGCGACCTGCTTTCCCCAGTGAGGAAGCTTCCCCTGGCGCTAACTGTGGGTCTGACGGACATGCCAGGCCCTTGGGTAAGGCGGGCGTGGAGGGGGCCCGGGCAGAAGGGGCAGGGCTGGGGGCAGCCAGCTCTGAGCGCTGCCCATGGTGCGCCGTGCTGGCCACCCCCAAGCCCGGGTGCTGCCCAGGGCGCACCACACAATGGTTTATAGGCACCTTGCATGGCTGGGGGGTCAGGCCGGGTGTGGCTGAGGCTGAGGGGGGGGCCAGTTCTGTGCGGGGAGTGGGGCTCGGGTGAAGGTTGGAGCAGCTCGGGCCAGCCCCATGAGGTGAGGGGGGAAGGGCTCAGCTTAGCCCCATGTGGTGTCTAGTATTCCCGGTGGGAAATATGGACACCCTGCCCCCCAACCCCTGTGGGGCTGAAGCCCTGATCCCCGGTGCCCTCCCCGGGCAGTGGTCAGACACACAGTGGCCCACCCAGACCTGTGCTGCCAGCTTGACCCTTTCCCTCGAGGGCAGGGCCATGGGGCACCCCACAGCGCCCCCCCGGCTCAAGATCCCCCTGACTCCCTCTGGCCAGTGCCCCCTGCAGCCCCACCTGTAGCACAGCACCCTGCCCGCAGCCCCACAACAGCCCAGAACCCCCACTCCCTAGCTCCCCCCCATCTTTCCTGCCACTCTCCCACCACGCCCTGCCTCCTGGCCACCCCCACGGACCCTGCTGGGGAGCGACTGTGTTGGCCAGGATGAGCCGGCAATGCAGCCGGGGCCGGGCCTGGAGCAGGGAGTCGCTCCAGCCCTTTCACTGGAAGTCCCCCTCGGCCCAAGCAACTTGAAAGGGCCTGGGTCTGTGGGCCGTGGCCGCAGCTGGGAGCTCCCTGCTGCGGTTAAAACCCACCCCAGGCCAGCAGCAGCGAGGGGCACCCAGGGCTGCCAACGGGGGGCAAAAAAAAAGCAGCTGCTTGGGCCCTTCAGATGGCTAGCAGAGCTCTGGGTGGCATGGGGGCCAGGAGCCAGCCCCCTTCACCTTGCCCAGGGCAATTCCGTCAGCAGGCCTGGCCTACACTCGGCTAACAAGCTGCCTTCTTGTCTGCTCCACTCAGGCTGGTTCAGACCCTCCTTTCACGAGACCAAGCCAGCCGGCAGTAGGGTTGCCAGATGGTTTCACGAAAAATACCGAACACCCCCTCCCCCAAGAAAAAACAACAACAAAACACCGGGGAAAAATTCTGTTGAGGAAAAAAAAAAGGGGGGGACCAAAGTTGTTGAACAAAAAAAAAAAAAAGACCCTGAGATTTAAGCTAAAAAAAAAAAAACCACAAGGG